AAAAGTCTGATGGTTCATCTTCATCTGCAACTCAAAGCTTCCATATCCTCATCGGCCATCGATCGTCCTGGTTCCATCGCGATGTCCACTAGACGCATGTGTGATGTTGAGCTGGATCTCTGTTTCTGCCACCAGGAGCTGAGTACGGTCAAGGCTACGGCCAGCAGGGCGCCCACCTCCTTCTCCAATCAGATGTGAGGCAACAGGAAGCAGGTGAGTCCAGGCTTCTGGGTGAAGGCTGGATGTTCACCGGACGTCATCATCTGATGTTGGTGTTTCTTTCACAGGAAGTGCCGGAGTGAACCAGCAGTGGGTCGCCTGCAACCTACCCACAATGCAACACTCCAGCCTGCCTGCAACATTACTGGGCGGGTTGGGATAAATGTTCACTGCTGTGAATCAGTGTGTAAATGATGAAAACAGAATCTAAATGAGAAACCCACAACTAGACCAAGCAGTGCTGAGTAGAACCTAGAGGTTCTGGTTGATCTTCATGTTCGGGTCTGTATCTGTGGACAGAATGTATGTTTGTGTTGTATAGATATCACTTATGAACAGATATATAATCTCAACCCTTTCTTCTCACTTCCTATTGGACCCTGGGATTTCTTGTTGCAATAAGCCCCGCCCCCAAAAACCAGATTGCAAATCAATGCTGTTCAGACTGGGTTCAACGATCCGGTTCAGATCAGAACCAACCAAGGTCCGGATAGAAAACGATGAGCCGCCTGTCCACAGCATCGTCTCCCAGCTCTTTGTTTTGCTGCATGTAAATACCCACAGGAAGTGATGTCAGTCTGGACTTGTAGCAAACGCAGCCTGGACGCTGGCATGGTTTCCATGGAAACTAGATCCAAAATGGCTTCCTGTTACTGGGAGTCCAATTAACAAGCTGTGTGCAGCTATCAATTACATTGCTGCTGAAGAAATGTCTGAAGACCCAATCGTCCATCTGAGGGTCCAAATGTCCATCTGAAGCCCAAATGTCCTTCTGAGGACCAAATGTCCTTCTGAGGACCAAATGTCCATCTGAAGCCCAAATGTCCATCTGAGGACCAAATGTCCATCTGAGGACCAAATGTCCATCTGATGACCAAATGTCCTTCTGAGGACCAAATGTCCTTCTGAGGACCAAATGTCCATCTGAAGCCCAAATGTCCATCTGATGACCAAATGTCCTTCTGAGGACCAAATGTCCTTCTGATGCCCAAATGTCCTTCTGAGGACCAAATGTCCTTCTGATGCCCAAATGTCCTTCTGAGGACCAAATGTCCATCTGAGGACCAAATGTCCATCTGAAGCCCAAATGTCCTTCTGAAGCCCAAATGTCCTTCTGAGGACCAAATGTCCATCTGAAGCCAAATGTCCTTCTGAAGCCCAAATGTCCTTCTGAGGACCAAATGTCCATCTGAGGACCAAATGTCCATCTGATGACCAAATGTCCTTCTGAGGACCAAATGTCCTTCTGATGCCCAAATGTCCTTCTGAGGACCAAATGTCCATCTGAAGCCCAAATGTCCTTCTGAAGCCCAAATGTCCATCTGAAGCCCAAATGTCCTTCTGAGGACCAAATGTCCATCTGAAGCCCAAATGTCCATCTGAAGCCCAAATGTCCTTCTGAAGCCCAAATGTCCATCTGAGGACCAAATGTCCATCTGAGGACCAAATGTCCTTCTGAGGACCAAATGTCCATCTGAAGCCCAAATGTCCTTCTGAGGACCAAATGTCCATCTGAGGACCAAATGTCCATCTGATGACCAAATGTCCTTCTGAGGACCAAATGTCCTTCTGATGCCCAAATGTCCTTCTGAGGACCAAATGTCCATCTGAAGCCCAAATGTCCTTCTGAAGCCCAAATGTCCATCTGAAGCCCCAAATGTCCTTCTGAGGACCAAATGTCCATCTGAAGCCCAAATGTCCATCTGAAGCCCAAATGTCCTTCTGAAGCCCAAATGTCCATCTGAGGACCAAATGTCCATCTGAGGACCAAATGTCCTTCTGAGGACCAAATGTCCATCTGAAGCCCAAATGTCCTTCTGAGGACCAAATGTCCATCTGAAGCCCAAATGTCCTTCTGAGGACCAAATGTCCTTCTGAAGCCCAAATGTCCATCTGAGGACCAATGTCCTTCTGAGGACCAAATGTCCATCTGAAGCCCAAATGTCCATCTGAAGCCCAAATGTCCATCTGAGGACCAAATGTCCATCTGAGGACCAAATGTCCTTCTGAGGACCAAATGTCCATCTGAGGACCAAATGTCCATCTGATGACCAAATGTCCTTCTGAGGACCAAATGTCCTTCTGAGGACCAAATGTCCTTCTGAGGACCAAATGTCCATCTGAAGCCCAAATGTCCATCTGAGGACCAAATGTCCATCTGAGGACCAAATGTCCTTCTGAGGACCAAATGTCCATCTGAAGCCCAAATGTCCATCTGACCAAATGTCCATCTGAGGACCAAATGTCCTTCTGAGGACCAAATGTCCATCTGAGGACCAAATGTCCATCTGAGGACCAAATGTCCTTCTGACCAAAATGTCCATCTGAAGCCCAAATGTCCTTCTGAGGACCAAATGTCCATCTGAAGCCCAAATGTCCTTCTGAAGCCCAAATGTCCATCTGAGGACCAAATGTCCTTCTGAGGACCAAATGTCCATCTGAAGCCCAAATGTCCATCTGAAGCCCAAATGTCCATCTGAGGACCAAATGTCCATCTGAGGACCAAATGTCCTTCTGAGGACCAAATGTCCATCTGAGGACCAAATGTCCATCTGATGACCAAATGTCCTTCTGAGGACCAAATGTCCTTCTGAGGACCAAATGTCCTTCTGAGGACCAAATGTCCATCTGAAGCCCAAATGTCCATCTGAGGACCAAATGTCCATCTGAGGACCAAATGTCCTTCTGAGGACCAAATGTCCATCTGAAGCCCAAATGTCCATCTGAGGACCAAATGTCCATCTGAGGACCAAATGTCCTTCTGAGGACCAAATGTCCATCTGAGGACCAAATGTCCATCTGAGGACCAAATGTCCTTCTGAGGACCAAATGTCCATCTGAGGACCAAATGTCCATCTGATGACCAAATGTCCTTCTGAGGACCAAATGTCCTTCTGAGGACCAAATGTCCTTCTGAGGACCAAATGTCCATCTGAAGCCCAAATGTCCATCTGAGGACCAAATGTCCATCTGAGGACCAAATGTCCTTCTGAGGACCAAATGTCCATCTGAAGCCCAAATGTCCATCTGAGGACCAAATGTCCATCTGAGGACCAAATGTCCTTCTGAGGACCAAATGTCCTTCTGAGGACCAAATGTCCATCTGAAGCCCAAATGTCATTGAGGACCAAATGTCCATCTGAGGACCAAATGTCCTTCTGAGGACCAAATGTCCATCTGAGGACCAAATGTCCTTCTGAGGACCAAATGTCCTTCTGATGCCCAAATGTCCTTCTGAGGACCAAATGTCCATCTGAGGACCCAGAGCTTTCAGAACTGGCCCTGAAGGTCGTGCAGTTTAATCTGCTGATGATTCTCGGTGAACGTTGCTTTGAGAAGCTCTGGTCTGTTGTTGCTTGGAGACCCCCAGAAAGAGAGGGAATCACCATGGCAACCAGTGATGATTGCCACTCAGCAGTTTCTCATGTGGGACGAATTCGTCGCCAGGTAGCCATGTTGGACTTCCAGGCAGCTGCTGCGTTTGTATGAATTTCCCCGCCAGTGTTTGAGGTGAGACCTTCTGAAAGATGAAGACCTCCAGACGTCTGCAGCGTCTCCCTGCTCTCAGCCAATCACAGCTCTCTGATGCTTCCTCCACCTCCTCCTCCTCCTCCTCCACCTCCTCCTCCTCCCTCCACCTCCTCCACCTCCTCCTCCTCCTCCACCTCCTCCTCCTCCTCCTCCTCCACCTCCTCTCCTCCACCTCCTCCACCTCCTCTTCCTCCACCTCCTCCTCCTCCTCCTCCACCTCCTCCTCCTCCTCGTCCTCAACCTCCTCCACCTCCTCCTCCACCTCCTCCTCCTCCTCTCCCCTCCTCCTCCTCCTCTCCTCCTCCTCCTCCACCT